AAAAAAAAAAAAAAAAAAAAAAAAAAAGAAAACAAAAAAGCGAGACCAGCAGTTTAATCATATCTTCTCAAGTATATTTTAAAAATTACGATGGAATTGATTACTTTTGACAAAAGTTAACATTTTTTAGATTTTTGAAGACAGATTTGTTATACTTTATATCATCTGAACTTCTTTACAACTTACAAAACATTCCATGGTTGAGAACATACACCATAATCAACGGTGTTTACTGAATCTAACGACAAATATTTTCAGTGGATTTTCGTTGATTATTAAGAAACGACTGAAACTTTTTTCCATTCTACTATTACAAGTTAATATTTATTATTTTTAGAATAGATTAAATAAGACAAAGAAAAATGGTAATCTAATAATACTCTTCAAAAATTGATTTGCAATTTCCAGGACGCCGATAGAGCCAATACAATTACATTCAGTTTCATTTGTTGTTCTAATGTACCAATAAAAACATTTTTTGTTATTTTTTTTCAATACTGATTTTAAAAAAACCAGAAAAAAGACCAATTTTTTTTGCATCATCCACCTAAAAACCGTATTTCAAACTGTCCTCCTTTCTTGAGCTTCAATATTATACACATTTGTACAGTTGTTATCTGCATCAGTATATTTCAGTTTCGGAATGTCATTAGAGAGCAGAATTGGTGAATCTCCGTGTATGAGCAAAAACGCAGTGATCAGACTACAGAACTTTATAAAGCTTATTTTTTGTGCTAAACGTTTGAAGAAGTAAACCGCAATGCCCAAATTGTACCTCCAGATGTATTGAACCTAAAAAATTTTCCTTCGCTTTTTTAAGTATTGTTCTGCTTTTATCTTCTGCGATAGAATTTTGTCCCTTCATTGGTCATATGGCAATTAAACTAGCATACAAACGATTCAACAGTTACTATATGATTCAGTTAAATTGCCCAGACAATTAGACACGCTGTTCAACTATTAAACTAAAAATATTTTCATTCCTGTCAAAGATGGATTTTAGTCGCAGAAGATTAGTCGCACCTTTCAGATGTGACTTGCTTACCATTAGATGCCAGATAAAGTCGAACAGTTTGTCGTGATTCCAATCATAACAACCGTAGTGTAAAAATTTATTCTATATGCTCTACAACCATTTAGATTAACAACATTTACTAGTCGAAACGAAAACTGCAACGGACCAAAATCCTGACATCCTCTAAATTTGTCAGACTTTGATATGGAACTGAAACGGCAGTAGTGCACGACCAGGCAACAAAACTTTTTTAAATCATATTTAACAAAGTTGTTTTTTCTTCTGCAGAAAAGTGGAAAAGTAGGTAAAACTAAAAGTTACACTCCTCAATGTCAGTTATCAATATCTCATATTCACCTGTTGCAAAAAATCCTTTTACAGCTGGTCGTTACCGTTTCCAAATTTTTTAGTACTTTTATACTTTAAGATTTGTCTGTGTTTCTTCATAAATTCTTCATAAAAATTTTGTCAGGAAAACATTGAAAATAAAGCAACAAAATAAAAACGACTAAAACAATCTTATTAGAAACAGGAGAATATCATAAAACCAGTTACGTCTCTGTTTACCTAAATACGGTGTACAGATGAACACTGATAAGATTTTTAAAACGATTATACAGCTGACAGGACTTTTGCAACTTATTAAACATCCATTTTTTTATTCAGGCTTTTCAATGTTGATGTAAAAATACGTTCACACGATCACTTCGGCAGCAGTATATCAAGAAAATTAGTGGAAAGTTACTAGACAAGAAAAAAGATCTTAATCAACAACAAATTTGACAGTTTAATCATGGCAGTGTTATGCACAAATCTTTCCAGAGTTCTAAAAATGACCGCTTAATTAAGATCAGTCTTCAAATAACACATCGATTATCAATCAGCTTTTTGCATATTTTATTTCTTCCCTCTAATCCCCCTCCCGTTGTCTGCCTGTCCTGAAAGAAATTTTGCTCATTTTGTCTCATGTACCTAGAATGAGCCAACGAAACTTCATCAACAATTTTATTAGAATTCAAAAAAATAATGTCTTCATATATCTGACACAAACAACAAAGAAGAAACTACAATGACATTAATCTCTTTCCAATGTTAACGTAGAGTTTTCAGTTTTAGTTGAAACTACATTTCAACTATTTCTCAGAATCATGCTTTCCAAAAATTGGTCACAAAGAACAGCAGTAAAAATGAAACTCAGCATATTTGACAAGCAAATTTCCCTCTCTCTTTCAGTTTCCTGTACAGAAACACAATTATTAATCTTGCTTTATGCAACACGGATCAGCTTCAATAGAAGCTCCATTCAAAATGCACTCTCCTCAAAAAATTCGAATCGAAAGTGCAATTCTTTGGTGACAATAAACATTGACTTCCGCACCTATCGATGAAAAAAATTACCCTTCTACTTTCAACATAAAAACGCTTACTGTCACAAGCGGTTTTTGAAAATATCAATATCTTTTTATAAAATCCAAAAATGATAAAAATCAGTCGTTGAAGTCTGGTAGCGTTCTAATATTTGCGGCGAAATTACTCATCTTTCTACTATAAAAAATTTGAACAGCTTTCCTTCCAACAGTAATAAAATCGCTCCTTCATCCCTCCAACCAGTCTTTCATACTTTGCTCTGATAAACCCCATCAAGTTTGAAACTAGCAAAAAACTAGTTGTAAGTAATAACAAGTGACGTCAAAAGTAACATTATCATTATGACGGAAGATTTTTGGATGCTGACAAGACAAAGGTAATTTTACCGTGTTAGTTATATGCATTAGCAGAAATCACTCGCTTTCCCTCTGTACTGCAACTTGCGAAATAAGACGCACACAGAACTGAATTTCAAAAGAACTGACATTTTGAAAATAGACGGCCTTTCCCCGTCAATTCTCAACCTTCAGAAATTCTGCTAAGAGCTTTACCGGCAAATACGCAAAACGCCATGATACCTTCCTCTCGCCATCTTAATCTAGCACTGAAGTGAACTTACCAGTAATTCTTTGAATAACTACATTTACAGTACTCAAAAAAGGTAAAAGACTAAAGCGCCAAAAAAAATTCGCAATTTTTCGAGCTAACAGTAGCGACTACCATCCATTACTATGGTTACCAGCAAATACGTTTGCTTCTGAAAATATCTTAAGAAAATTATCCAAAATCTTCACCCGCCACTTCCAAGAATGTCTTACTATAATTAAACAACTGATCTGTATACTGTTGTCTTATCACAAAAACCTGTTTCGCACATTCTTTTTAAATATAGAAATGCAGCAGAAATAACTTTGATCGGTGATCGTCAAGCAGTCCAGAATTGACCTAGACCAGTTTTCTCCTTCCTGTGACTGTTACAATGACCAATTCTTAAGATAGACTAGTTGTTGACGGGGTGATGTCTTTCAAATTTCTTTGTATTCTGTAACAGCCAATTTGCTGTCCAGTGTGTTCTCACTTAGCCCTCTCCTGGAATACCCCGACACAGACTGAAGAGTTCATCTCCTAAACTTTGTGCACCTATTTCTCCAAAATCCTCGGGCTTTGGGCTGTGTAAGACAAAAAGCACGTACTGATTTCACTGCTAAATAAACTTACCTTCGAGTGCCGCAAGCCATGTTTATGGATGCTCTTTTAAAGCGGACCAACAGCCTAATGTATTAACCATCTTTGCCAAATGTACTATGCGTGTATCACTTGAACGAAAATCCGGCAGCACTGAAGCACGAAAAAATCCCGAGCAGCAAGGGACTGTACCCTAACACAGCAGTAGAGACTGCTTCTTTGATACTAGCCTCAAAATTGATCCCCAAAATCTTTGTTTTTTTTTTTTTTGCTGACCTTTCTTCGTCCTAATTAGAGCGCCAAGTGTCCTCCCCACATCTCTCCCGAATCCTTCTCTGCTGCACTAAACAAAACTTTATCCTCAAAGACACCTCAAACCACCTGTCCAAAACCCTAATTTATTTAAACCCTATATCAGGGAATTACTAAAACACCATCAGGCGCAGCCAGCCTCTCCCTCCTTAACCTTCTCGACGAGGTACACCTCATTATAAAAGGATTTACGAAACCCATCAACTATTTTGAGATGAGAGTGGTGTGAACTACAGAACACCCACTGCCCCTTGAGAACAGAAGTGTAAACATGGTCCCTGTGAGTGGATTTCAGTCTGCGCAAGGACTGTCCCTAAAAATGTATCTAGCGTTCCAACAAAAGATAAAAGAACTCTTTTATCATGTTTCGCTGAGATACACACCACCAAAATCAGATGAATTTTTGAATTTTTTTATTATCCATTCAACGAGTTGCGCGAGAAGAAAAATAGAAAAAACCAGATCTACCTAAAAAGCAGGTTTTGCAAATAACATACAAGCATTAACATAGTACAAAAGGAGGAATTTTCCAAGTAACCGGCTCAACAAATGATGTTAAGAACAAAATAACACAACAAAAATCAGCAGCTCCGGAAAAAATACCTCACTGCAAGTATAGACGACAATAAAACACTATAAAAACCCAACGGAATCCCGTATCGAACTGTACACTGAATAACAAAAACTGTAGAAAGGCAGGAAAACATTCGTATTGGGAGACCGCATTCAAGCAGTGCCAAAATTACATGTAAGATGAACGAAAAACAAACCAATGCTTGTGAATGACATATGAAAAAAAACAAGCTCTGATTCTAGTTTCTAGGTAAAAAGAAAAGCAGGAGATATGCAACATTGCAACGCGCGAGTAACATGATGTCTAAGCATAGTATTATTAGAAACTAGAACTTTTGACTTGAACTTGATATTCGTACCGTAACAAGAGAAATTAATCAACAACTATAAACATCTTTATATCATCAGGTTTCAGAGAGAAGAAATCTAAGTAAAGCCTAGGATTTGAGTCAGCAAAACCAAAAACTGACTTTAGGAAACTATGAGGCTTCAAGCCGTAGCCGCCACTTCATGATTTCGACTAAGATTCAACTAGAAAGCCAATGCGCAGGTTGACGCATGCATAATGAGCACTGAGGAACACGACACATGTATAAAACAATGCAAAAAACGTCAGCTTTGCAAAGGATGAAAAAAGGAAAGCAAATGTTACACTCGAAGTTCCAGGGCGTAAATGAGCATAAAAACTACACTTAAAAGACAACAGAATAACGAGACAGAGGAAGGCCAAAGGGAAAATCTACCCTAACCGGATTTACTGCCAAATTACTGCCAAACACCATAACTATTCCACTGCGTACGACTGTTAGGTTGCGAAAACATGGCGCCATCACATGTGCTTGCTACCGTGGACGAGACTGACGGAACATAATTCTGTGTTGTTGGCATTGACGTTCTAAACCAGAAATGATGAGGACAGTTTCATCAGCGGAATTTAAGAAATCGCAAACTTGTCGGCAAAATAATTTTAAAAAATGAAATTATTCGAATAATGTGTTGAGTAACTGACTGCAAAGAAAGTAACAAGAAAAATACAAAGAGGAAAAAATAATGAACAAATCAAACATACTACACATGCAGCTTATACACAATATTCAAACAACTTACGTGAACAGATTTGTATTAGGAAGTGATTGATGTGCAGTTGCACGCGGAGGAGGTATGTGCGCATTAAAGAACGGAGGAGGTGGAGGCACTGATGTGTTGACGGTACCTTGTGAAGAATGAAACTGATTTACTAAATTACAATAATCAGAATCCACTCGTACTTGACTGGTGACCGATAATGGATTTGGATTCGACGCAGGATTAAAGGGTCGGTAAGAATTCAAAAGTACGTTCAAATGGTCGTATTCTTGAGAAGCAGCTTGAGCAGCCTAGAAATAGCAACACGTTGCACATAAATTGTGCACCAAGAGGTTGTTTCTCGCCAACCCTGTGTGATCCAACCCCGACCAACAAGCTGTTCTGTTTAAAAAGTAATCAGAAAAAGCCGTCATTCAGGTAAAACAACGAGAAATAACCTGCTGAAGCTGCACACTATCCCAATGTCGTGATAACTGCCTGTTAAAATGAGATAAGTTCTCGTTTATAGATGGAGCTCCTGTTGCGGCTGAACCTACTAAGGAGTGAAAAGGAGGAAATGAAGGAACGTAGTTCTCGCCAATACTGTTTCTTTCATTATGACCAAGTGTTCCAGCCAACTGGGCAGCTGCCTAAAAATAATGCTCTACAAAAGGCTAATAAAACAAGCATAAGAAAACAAGATTTGGAAAGAAGATAACTACGACACACAGAAAAGTCTAAAAACCAGCCAAGTCAGTCAAGCACTGTAGAAGCTGAAAAAAAAAACAAACATGATTAATCCACATATTGCTGTCGTGATTTTCACGCACCGTAAGAAACGAAGAGGCCGAATTACTGACAACACCCAAAGGCTTGTGATCTTCATTTCGCCACTGTTGCGAATTATCAATGTTATATGAATTCCTCACCCAATCATTTGTTCCGCGTCCAACTTCGCCAACAGAGCAACCACTTGTGGAAGCAGCATCCCCGCCATAACCACGAAGGCTGCTTTCCTCATCGGCCAAAGACCCAGTGCCACTATGAGCCTGGAGTATCAAAAATAAAGACCAAAAGAATAAACAAAAATGTCAAAACTGCAAACACGTACTTCTACTCTTAACTGAGCCAAATTCCGAGCAAGTTCCAACGACTCATTTCTCTGGTTCACATCCGCGGTAGAACTTACGTTTCTTACTGGCAACTGCATGTTCGAACAAAAAACACTGAATGTGCCCAAGCCAGATGAGGAGGACTGGTCAAAAGTTGAGTGATTTAAAGCTGGTTGGGTTGTGGTTCTCCGATTCCAAGTTGCATTTCTTGAAAGGGCTACCGGATCATATTCGCCCCAAATATCTGATAAAAACATTTGGTTGTCTATAGTGGCATTCTTCCCTTGCGAGCCCTAGAAGAATGAGACATTTAAACAACAATTCTTGAGACCGACTACTGAAAGGCGAAGGAGATCGAGAAAAGAGATAAATAGAGAAGCACGATAAACAAATGCTACCATAAATAAACCGTCTTCAGTACGGGCAGAGAAAGTTGAGTTAGGAAATGCAGGGGTTTCAACTTCTTTTGCAATCAGTGATCCAATTTCTTCAAAAGTATCATCTGAAAAAATAATTTATTTTTTGGAATCAAGGATTGTTTCTTCCAAGTTACGACAAAAATCTTCACCATTCTCTTTCAAAAGCGAAACTGCAACATTTGACAGAGATTGAGAGTTCAACTGCAAGTCGCTGAAAAAAATTTAGTGAAGAAAGGAACTCGATCAATTCATGATGCTGAACCGTTGAAAAATTGACGACTTACTTTTTAGATACCTGTTCTTGTTTTGCAGTTAAGGGTAGCTCACTATAATTGTTAACTGTTCCAGGCAAAGGAGAAAAATCTGCAAAATTTCATAAATCAAAAAATTAAGTAACCGTAGTAGAACCTCATTTCCGTCTTTGAAAGACCGATGCTTACGATGCTTATTAATGGTAAAAACATACTAGTTGGCGAAACTGAACTGCTAGAAGGGGACACTGAAGCTGATCTGCTATGTCCTGGAGTTCGACAAAAACCTTTAGAGCTTGCATTCATCGAATCATCTCTTTCGCTGTTCAACTAAAATTTAAAACCAGATGTGACTGCAACACCGAAATGAAGTAACAACCAAATCAAGCCCCATCATACCTGTAAAGCAGCATCACCTTCTTCCTGCAGAAGAACGTCACCATTTGTCAGCACTTGGTTTCCCTGCGTCACATTAAGCGACAGCTGAGGTAAGATTGTGGAGGTATTGGCTATATCACTGGTAGTCCCACTTACAGAAACATTTTGCTTCTGTCTTTTTTCAGAACCAATTGCTGGCACTGCTAAACCAGTTGCAAAGTTAGGACGCCTCATCCCACGCTACATT